CACAAGAAGCAAAGTTACAGGGAACCAATCAGGGGCCTTTTCGGTAGTGGCGCCCGCCCTGTAGTCCTCCCATCAGATGTCAAAGTAATAAACTATTGGGCTTTTAGAAGACATCTGAAGGCAGTCCTGTTTAGGGAAGTTTTTAATATTTGATGAATCACTGAATTTTAGTATTCTGCTGGAAGCCACCCAGCCAGATGGGCAGGGTATAAATAAATTATTATTATTATCATCACTTCAGAGGGGGGTGGGGGACATGGAGCAAGGCCTCCCAAAGTCACATTGAAAGAACGTATGGTTTACTGGTTGAAGTAACCCAAAGATGCTGCTTTCCTTTGCACTGGGGAGTTGGAAAGCAAGGATTGCAGAGGAAAGAAGGGTCAAGAATAAGCCTAGGGGAGAAAGCAACCCATTGTCAACTGGTTCTTAAAAACCCACAAGGACTGTATTTTTATGAAGCCACCGCATTTTAAAACAATCCACCTTTCAGTTTTCTTCAGATCAGCTGATAAGATTCCATAAAAGTCATTTAAAAAAACACACACACACGGGCATCCCACCCCCTCAACAAAGGTAGTGCTTTCACACTGATTCAAGGGTTGTGAACCTTCCAGACAGACATACAAACAAACCGCAAACTAATAATAATAATAATAATAATAATAATAATAATTTTTTATTTATACCCCGCCCTCCCCAGCCAAGGCCGGGCTCAGAGCGGCTTACAAGCAATAATAAAAACCAGAAGAATGATTACAACTTAAAAACAAAAATAAAATACAACATTAAAATAATGGAACATTAAAATATTAAAATTAGCCTCATTGCAGGAGGAGAAGGAAAAGAAAAAAGAAAGAGAGGGAGGGAGGGAATCAAATTGGCTCCAAGCCAAAGGCCAGGCGGAACAACTCTGTCTTACAGGCCCTGCGGAAAGAAATCAGATCCTGCAGGGCCCTGGTCTCATGAGGCAGAGCGTTCCACCAGGCCGGAGCCAGAGTTGAAAAGGCCCTGGCTCTGGTTGAAGCCAATCTAACTTCCTTAGGGCCCGGGACCACTAGGGTGTTGTTATTTATGGACCTTGAGGCTCTCCGTGGGGCATACCGGGAGAGGCGGTCCCGTAGGTACGAAGGTCCTAGGCCGTGAAGGGCTTTAAAGGTCAACGCTATTCCCAACGCTACCCCAATTCCTCCAAGTCAAATCGTTACCTCTGCTGTTACTCTCTGGATATGCAATGACTGGCTTGGCAGGAGGTCGTCGCAAGTCAGCGTTAATGAAAGGTTTGTGCCTAGGATACTCCGTAAACGATGCTGCTGAAAGCCCATCTGTGAAGGATGAGGTCCTGTGACTTGTACGGAAAGCAGCACCCTGGAAAGAGGTGGAGATGGTCAGTTGAGCTGCCTGATAGACACAGAGGATGCCTCATCAGTCCAGAAAGACCAATTTGAGTTTTCAGAGTGCAATTAGAATGAGTGTCCAAAAAGACTTTGATGAAGAAGTAGGTCTTTAGGAAAACCTAAGAACGAGTTCACCACATAGGCAACAGGAGCAGCATGACAGAAAACACCAAGCAAGTGTGGCACAGTGGTTTCAGTGGCAGACTAGGGTCATGGAGAATATTTAGAATCATAGAGTTGGAAGGGACCCAAAGGACCTAGTCAAACCCATGTAATGCAGGATTCTGCAGGTGTCCCTTACGGGAATTGAACCTGCAACCTTGGCACTACCCGCACCACACTCTAACCAACTGAGCTATCAAGGAAACTTGCACTTCAACCCTATTCAAGTTTACTTTGACTGAAGTGCCACCAAGTTCAACAGAGCTTACTTTCCTAGTAAGTGGATTTTGCAGGATATTAGAGCGAGATTATGTATAGAATTTTGAGCTCCTTGGAGGAAAGGCAAGATAGAAAGGTAATCAGAGATAAGATAAGCTGGCCAGGAACGTTATCCTGAGTTCCCTGGTGACGGGGGAAATGCAATCAACAAACTTGACCCATGCTATGACTGTGTCCCTCAGCCCTGCCTGCTCAGAAGTGTCCAAACAACTTCAGATTTATTCCAAGTCGGCTAGTAGGTAGCCAAATCTGATCGCCTGATAAGTAAGCGTCTAGTCTAGGTGATCAAGCACAGAAGAGTTACAAAAAGTTGGTAGTTCTTTCTTTTGGACTACCAATGAGGTACATGTGGATGAATGGGCCACTAAGCCCCTCTTAGTTCGTCTCATTTGCAAGTGTGATTGCAATTAAACATTAACAGGATTGCGATGTCAAATTGGACATGGCTACAATTGAGCTGCCGTGATCACACTTTCACTGTAGCTATTTTTCAACTCCTTTGCCTGCCTCCTACACACCCTCAGTGAAGGGCTTAGGCCACATGGCAGAGGGCAGCACATGCATCTTTTATGGCTTATTGTCCATAACCTGAGTCCAACTTAAGTGATAAATGCTTAGTTTCTGTATGTTGCTCAGCTGGTCCCTATGCAACACTGTCACCAAGCTTCTCTCCTGGAATACGAAACTGGAGACTTAAAAGACAGGGGGTAGATGAGAGAAACTAATCAGAATTATTCGTTCTGCAAAAGCACTCAAGCGAAGCCCTGAAAGCATGCAGACAATACAAAGAAAGAGGTAGGAGGCGAGGATTTTTAGTAGTCTGACCCTACAATCTTAGAGATTCCAGAAAGGACTCAAAGGGAGCATAGCTCCCAGCTGATATATTTAGAGCATGGATCCATGGGTCAATCCTATGCACACTTACTTAGAAGAACTACAGTGGCTATCTTGTGGCTCTCCAGATGTTGTTGGACTCCAGTTTCCATCGGACACAACATAGCATGGCTCATGGTTAAGGCTGATAGGAGCATAGCTGTCAACGTTTCCCTTTTTTAAAGGGAAATTCCCTTATTCCGAATAGGATTCCTCGCAAGAAAAGGGAAAAATTGACAGCTATGGATAGTTGTAGTCACTCTCAGCCAGACTGACTGCAAGAATAAAACAGATGTGGCCCTGAATTCGAATTACTGAAAACCACAGGAGATGAAAACACTCTTGTGCTAATGCTCTTGTGCTAATGTTCTGCTCACTGGTTTCCCACAGACATCTATCCGGTTGCCGACTGTGATAAGAGGATGCTGGACTAAATGAGCCACTGGCCTTTTTCTTTTAATTATTATTTTTCATTCATTCATTCATTGAATTTATATACCACCTTATACCCAGAGATAACCATAGTTTAACCATACTGTAGTTTTAACATTTTATATTTTGACTCCCTCCTCCCTCTTTCTGCGGTTCCTTACATTTATAAGGGCTACTGGCCAGGCCCAGCAAATTCTTCCTATGTTCTTAGGGACATTTGTAGGGCATTCAGAAAAGACATGATGGGAGAGTAAAGCAGCATAAGCATGGGGACAATGCAATTTTGAAAGACCAGGGGATGGCCCTCTGTGGTGCAACGGGTCAATGCTGTTAACAAGGAAGTTGGTGGTTTGAGCGAACCCAGGGATGGCTGTGGGCAGGATTCCTGCATTGCAGGGGTTGGACCAGATAACCCAGTTCTATGAGCACCTATGCGATGGGTGGACCATCTAAAACCAACAGTGAGGGCTTCTGAGCATGCAGCAAGCTAAGTGCAAAGAGTGATGGAGAGAACTTGGAAAATATCCAAAACGCGATGTGAGATGCTGTGGAAGAAGCTGCGGAAAGGCAAAAGTTCAGTGTTAGAGAGCAAGTGACCTTCTGCAGGTGAAGGTGTCCAATACAGTGTCCCAGTACAGTATACCCAGTTATGGTGGGGAAATATCTCAAATACCAGGGCTGGAAGTGAGTGCTTAATGCCCTGCAGGGCCCTGACTATTGAGCTCCGGCAAATATTGCGACCAGGGTTTAAATCACTCACTTGGGTGGCCTTGCGTGCCAGTCACACTTTATTCTCTCAGCCTACCCTACCTCACGGGGAATAAAACGGTGAGGAAGAGAAACTCGCCCGCCGCCTTGAGCTCGAGGGGGAAAAGGCGGGCTACAAATGAAACAAAATGAATGCCGTTGAGAGCTGAAAGGGCTCTGGGTGCGAAGATGGGCTTGCTTGGAGATCCCTCCTTATACTGTGCCGGCGCCGAGGATCCGCGAAGTTCACCCTCACGGGCGAGCGTGCCCCTGCGCATGTATAGAGCGCCTTCATCTCCGCCCGCCCTGAACAGCCACGCCCAACCTCCCGCGCGGACGTAAGGGAAACCAGAGGTGGTTTCAGGGCCTGCCGCTCCATCAGGCTCCCCTCCAGGCTCACCGTGTTCTCCAGGTCCCCCGCTACCGCCATGTCGCAAAAGGGCGCCCGCGGAGGGCGCCTGTCCCTTTAAGGCCAGCGGGGCCCGGAGAGCGGAGGCTACTGCAGCCTCCCGCCTTCCTCCAGCTGCCCCACAAACACCGCGGCCGCGCCAACAAGGGCACTCTGTTGAGTGGCATGTGAAGCAGCCAACGGAGCCTCGCCTCGACCCGCCTAAAGAGCAACATGTCCCCGCCCCTCCCGCGTTCCCTTTTACGGCGCGCTTGCGTCACAGAGCTGCGGCGGTGATGGACGTCCGGATTAACCAATAAGAGTTGAGGAAGAAGGGGGGTGAGAAAGCAGTCAGATTTATTTCCTTATTATCGCCTTGGGGTTTCAAGAGCGAGCGAATCAGAAGCCACGGCGAAGATACGCTCCGGATTTGTTTGTGGAGCTTTCGGTGGGTGGCAGTAGGAGGAAGGAAGCGAACTGCGCTTATTTCCCTTCTGCGCAGGCGCAAACTAGCGAAGGCGGTTTATTGCTGCGACTCTTGTATGGAAAAAAAGGGCACCGGCGCCCGGCCAATGAGAGGCGGCGGCGGAGAGCGGGTTCCGCCTTATTTCATTTTTCTAATTGGTCTGGTCTTATAAATCGTGACGCAAGCACGGCGGGCGTGGAGGGGGGGTGAGGGACGTCGCGCGGCTTCCCCCGCCGCCTCATTGGGCGGCGAGGTTTGAAGGCGGCCTTGCCGCGCCGCGCTGATTGGCCGAGGGCGCCGAGGCTCGCGCTCCGTCGGTTTGCTCCCTGGCTCGCGCTCGGCCTCTGTTTGCGTGAGGAGAAAGGAAGAGGAGGAGGAGCGGGGAACGGAAGGGCCTTTTGACGCGGATGCCGACACAAGGAGGAAAGCGGGCCTAAGCGGAGGAAGAAGCGGCCACGAAGGAACCAACAGGCGCGCGCGGCGGAGGGGAGAATCTCTCCTCTCTCTTTCTCCCTCAGCCGTTCGTCCGCTCCTGCCCGCCCGCCCTCCCGCCGGTGGTTGGTTCCTTCCCGGCTCCTTCGGCGCTGTGAAGGGAAGGCGGATGGCGGCAACATCCGGGGCCTCCGGGGTGGCGGCAGCGGCGGTCGTCGCCGTCGGAGGTGGTGGAGGTGGGTCCGTCGTCGCCGCCGCCGCCCCGGCTCTCTACGCCTGCACCAAGTGCAACCAGCGCTACCCGTTCGAGGAGCTCTCCCAGGGACAGCAGCTCTGCAAGGTGCCGCTCCCCGGGGGCTGCGGGGGTAGGCCGGGAGGCGACGCCGAGGGAGGGAAGGGCGGCTGCGTGGGGTGGGGACGGCAGGGCGGGCGGCCAGAGGATATCCGGCTGCTCGGCGGGACGCGCCCGCTTCCGGGGCTGAAGGGGTTTGAAGGGACGGGGCGGCCTGGAGCTTCGTTAACCCCGAAATCTCGGGGCCCCTCTAAAGCTTTTAGTGGGGCTCCCAAACTCAGTAAGTGATACATCAAACGGGGGGTCGCAGTTAACACCCAGAAAACCAACGTCCCATCCACTCCAAAGTTCTGTAGAGCCCCAACAGCTAACTCGGAACCCCTAAATTTGAGACCCCCCCAAAGTTCTGTAGAGCCTAGTAGTGCAAATCCTGCTTTTTGTAGGTTCTTTCTCTCTCCCCCCCAACAATAACTAACTCGGAACCCTTAAATTTGAGAGCCCCCCAAAGTTATGTAGAGCCTAGTAGTGCAAATCCTGCGTTTTGTAGGTTCTTCCCCCCAACAAATAACTTGGAACCCCTAAATTTGAGACCCCCCTCTAAATCGTTCGTAGGGTATTGTAAGGGAAAACCCTTCATTTTGACCCTACAAAACGTCTACAAAAACCCTAGGAAAGTTTTGGGGTGGGTCCAAGATTTCGGGGTTTGTAGTTAACAAAGCCGCGGCCTTGGAATTGCGAGGGGGCTGACCAGGCAGAGGAGTGAAGGCAAGGGAAGGGTTTAGCTTCAAGGACACAACACTCCTGATAAGCTGCTGTGTGGTTTCTTTTTCACTTTTTTAAGCGAAGGAAACGTCCCTGCTGGCATCTGGTGAAGCTGAATGTTGGAAAGCTCAGGAGGGATAACAGGAAGCACTTCTCTTCCATGTAGCACATAGTTAAAATTATGGGGCTCTCTTCCTCAGGGAGACAGTGATGACCACCAACTTGCATGACTTCAGAAGAGGAGAGCACTATTGAAGGCTACTAGCCATGACGGCTATTCCTGTGGTTCCACAGTTGGAGGCAGCAGCAGTTCTTTTGAGTACAAGTTGAGGATGGGTCAGGTGCTCTTGCGCTTGGATCTTGATTGCCTAGTTTCCCACAGACACCACTGTGAGAACAATATGCTGGCCTGGATGGGCAACTGGCTTGTCCCAGCAGGCTCTTTATATGTTCAGAGAAGGTGACATAGATCAGCCGCAAAACAGGCGTTTTCAGGGTTACAAACTAGTTTTACACACAATGAAAAAGGGATGAGGAGAGGTTATATATGTGTCAACCCCAAAAGTTACTCTCATTTGAGTTCAGTGATACTTGCTCTCCATGTGCCTATATGATTTCAGCCTTAGTGACTAATTCCAGGGTGATCAGTTCTTTTCAGATTACTCAGTGGGAGGTGCCAGTCTGCCACCCAAACTGCCCTGTGGTGTAGGTGTTGTGGCCCATTTGTTATGCCTGGCATGATGGTGCCACCCAGAATGTCATCACTATGAGATTCTTCCCTCTATATCATGTCATATTTTGCATTTGCTCTAACCCCATTCTGAACCATAGTGGATTTCTCTCCCACTGTCAGACAGTGTACAGCTTTCACTACATGGTGATGGGATGGGGTTTACTATTTTCAGTGGCAATCCCTCCTCAGGATAGTTCTGTCCTGATTTATTATACACATTGGAAAATTTTGATGACTTTACATTTTGATTTGTTCATTTTGAACAGGGCAGAACCTTCAGCCCTCCAAATGATGATTGGGATGTAATTCCCATAGTTTCTGTCCATGGTACCTGGAGACTTAACAGCATCTGGAGGGTCTCATGTTTTCCATCACTGATTCATTGCATCTTTGTCACACATTTAAAAAAAACCTAAATGTGTTACTTCATCCCTTGCTTGCTGTAATGAAGAAACACCTGTTTTGGTTTTCTTTTTAAAACAGGCTATAATACTGTGGGAGCTAGCTAGTCTTGTGGTACAAGCTTTCATAGGCAATCAAAGTCATCATAGATCATTGCTTGTTACAGCAGCTATCTGACAGATTCTACTTGCAGGAGTCCACTGTATCAAAAAGATACTTAGTTTTGCAGCATTAGCAGTCAGTGGGTTTTTAATTAGTTATCTTAAATCCCATCTCTTAAACCCATCTTATAATCAAGCAATAAAGCACTTTATATTTCAATCTTATGATGGTGATATAGACTGTATAATAAGTCAGATCAGGAATTCTCTTGACCTGTAGTTTGCAGCCACATATGGAAAGCCAAAGTGACTTGGAACAACTGTAACTTATACATGGGAGCACCATGGAATGTCCACAGAACAAATAAGATAAAATGAGATGAATTTCTTGTGTCAGTAGTTTCTCTATAGTAAAACAATTTTGACTTTTTTTGTCTAGGAATGTCGCATTGCACATCCCATGGTAAAATGTACTTACTGTCGATCAGAGTTCCAACAAGAGAGGTAAGTCTTTTTCATGTTATTTCACACTTGTAAACTATCAGCTATTACATGAAAACTGCTATATGCCCCATAAATGTAATGCTGGTCAGTCAAATTCCACATGCAGTTTACCTTGAATTATATGGCTAAAAGTCATCCACGTATTGGGGAAAATGTTGTCTGCCTACCCTGGTCCCATGAAGGAGGCAAAAGAGCAAGGCAGAATAAAGAAGAGCCTCTGGTGAGCAACTTGTGCCACCTTTTTGGAGAACTAGAGTTCTTTTAGAAGAAGAGTTTGGATTTGATATCCCACTTTATCATTACCCAAAGGAGTCTCAAAGCGGCTATCATTCTCCTTTCCCTTCCTCCCCCACAACAAACACTCTGTGAAGTGAGTGGAGCTGAGAGACTTCAAAGAAATGTGACTAGCCCAAGGTCACCCAGCAGCTGCATGTGGAGGAGCGGAGACACGAACCCTGATCACCAGATGACAAGTCTACCGCTCTTAACCACTACACCACACTGGCTTTTAAGGGCCTGTCCTGAATATGGGTACTTCTCCTGTGTAACTAAGTATTTGAAAAACTGGATTTTATTTCCTTTTCTTTTAGCAAAACCAACACAATATGCAAGAAGTGTGCCCAAAATGTAAAGCAATTTGGAACGGTGAGTTAAATTCTGGATCTTTTTTGTGCCTGGGCTGCTAAATTCATAGTCAGGCCTACAGAGACATTCAAATTTGGATTTAAGAAAATAACAACTATGACATTTTATTCCACACTGGTTGAAGTTGCCTTTGACTTTGCATAAAGTTTTAAATATGTACGTGCTGAAGAGTGGAACCCCGGTATTCTGGAGCGCTACAGGCTGTGAAGCAAACCAGACTTGAGCGCAGGTCTTTCTCTAAGGTTGACTAAACACTGGTTATGACACATAATTGTACCTACCATGTGGCAGTATGGGCAGCCAAGAAGATGCACTTTGCAGTCTCCATTATATCTTTAAGTAGCTGGCTGTAATAGCCTTTTTGGATAATCTAGAGATTGCTTACTTTCACTGTAGGAGAAGGGTCCACACAAGAAGAGCCTATTGGATCAGGACAGCGACCCGTCTTCTCCAGTGTCCTGTTCTCACAAAAGCCAACCAGATGCCTGGAAAAAGCCCACAAGCCGTAAATGAGCACAAGAGTACTCTCCCCTCTTGCCGTGTTCAGCAACTAGTATTCAGAAGCATTCTGCCTCTGACCATAGAGGCAGAGCACAGTCATTGTATTTAATAGCAATTGATAGCCTAATTCACCATGAAAATACATTGACTCCATAGTTGCAGTTCCATAATTATAATGGAAATTCTCTGTATTACTGTTTATTTTTTATTAAGCAGTTTATACATTTTCCTAAATAAAAAGAAACAAATTTCAGTTAGCAAAATAATGTTTTCCCGCAGCTGACATCAGGAAAGTTTAAAGAAACTTTGAACCAGTTAATAAAATGTAACATAGTTTCAGCATCAAGCATGTAACTACTAAGTGAAGTCTGTCTAAATGAGCTTGTATAAAAGCAGCAGTTTTACTCATTCTTTTCTTCAGTGACTCTAGGTCATTTTTGCATAAAATGTTGACATACTGAAACAAGGAATGGCATTCTTAATTTGTTGTTCTTTTTCTTCAGCCGAAACCTTGCCAATACTGTAACATCATTGCAGCGTTTATTGGCACAAAATGTCAGCGCTGCACAAACTCTGAGAAGAAATATGGACCCCCTCAAACATGTGAACAATGCAAGCAGCAATGTGCTTTTGATCGCAAAGAGGAAGGAAGAAGAAAGGTATAGCTTTGTCTTGCTGCTACTCATACTTGGTCTCAAAGTGGTAACTGAATGATGAACATCATCGTATTGTTGTATTTTGAATTGTACTTGTAGCATTTGTGCGCATTCCCCAACCTGCCCTACTTGTCCGGCAAGACCCAGCTGAGAGAGAGAGGGGTGCACAGAAGCGTTTTCAGAACACAAAACAAACAAACAGTAGTTGCTGCCACCACTTCGTTATCTTAGAAAAGCCCAGAAAAGTAACCTAAGGAAGGAGATTACTCTTCAGCGTTACCGGGCTGCCCCACCCTGCATCACTTTACCATGCCACAGACAGAAATCCAACAGGCTCTGGTAGGCAACTAAGTGGTCAGGTGCTGGTTTAGCTTCCCCGACAGAAAGGCACAAAAGACAAACAGGAAAAAGTCATTTTTCCAGAATTTATTAAAAAAACAAGATTATTCAAAGATAAAAGTTTGCACATCTCTTACAAATCCCAAACAGAAAATAAAAACATTGTTTAGTACAGTGGTACCTCGCAAGACAAAAAACTCGCTAGATGAAAGGGTTTTTTGTTTTTTGAGCTGCTTCGCAAGACAATTTTCCCTATGGGCTTGCTTTGCAAGACGGAAATGTCTTGCAAGTTTGTTTCCTTTTTCTTAACACCGTTAATACAGTTGCGACTTGACTTCGAGGAGCAACTCATAGCACGCGGTGTGGTAGCCTTTTTTGAGGTTTTTAAAGATTTTGGTGATTTTTGAAGCTTTTCCAAAACTTTCCCGACACCGTGCTTCGCAAGACGAAAAAAATCGCAAGACGACAAAACTCGCGGAACGAATTAATTTCGTCTTGCGAGGCACCACTGTATAGCTAACTACAGAACACACTCACAACAAGAACCGGCATCAGGGCAGGCCCTCTCTCTGCATGACAATGGTCTAACATGGCAAAGTAGGTTAGGTGAGGCAGCTGCGAATTGCAAGTCTGATTCCTAAGGTTTTATCCCCTTTGAACCCACATGAATCCCAAACTCAAAGGCCAGTCGGTTCTTTAGATTAATTAGCAATTCGCCAATGGTTACATAGAAGGACAATAACTCAAACTTGTTAGGGGAATTGGCAGCTGAATCCTGTTTATCCCAAGACCTTGAAAATGAAAGGGCATCCTCCCTTATTCTCAGACACACACCAGATTCCCCTTCTTGTTGGAATAAGGCTCGATGACCTTGTTCACACAGAAACGGCATCTCAGATAGCCAGGTGTCAAGACTACAAATCAACTATGAGCCTCCCTCCTGCAGCTGGAGAAGATAACTTATTCACACTCCCAAAGACACTAAGTCTGCATTTAAAGAAGCAGACACACATTCCCCAGTGTTTGGCTCTCCCACAATGCTCTTCTTAGGCATGAGCCAAAGTTTTAACTTGCTAAGATTTCCCAACATCACTATAGCACTAATGGTCTATCAGAGTGCTCTTCATTGATCCCTGAAACTGTAAACCACATGTGGAGAATGGGGTCCCCCAACTCAGGCAGACCTTGCTCATGAGCCTTTCCTCCAGGAAACACATCCCACTTCTGACACCAGTGTTGGTCTCAGAATTTGAGCGGTGTGAGAGTCCAGGGGTTCCAGGCACACTTACCCAGGGTCCATGTTTACTTAAGTCATGTAACTGGATGCTCCCTGCACTTCTGGCATGAGTTGTTCTAGAAGAAACCTTTAGTCAGTTTTAAGTGAAGGCTTCCAAATGGAGAAATAGAACTTATATTATGTATTTGTGTTATTCTTCAGTTACCCGTTTATATAGCAGCACTTGACTGCTGATCCATGAAAAGAAATTGAACTCCTAAAACAGTAAACAAGTTCTATGAAGGAATGGTGAAATAAAAATGATAATACATTATATTCTATCAATAACTGGGCAGACTAGATGCCAGTGTTTTATAGGCTCTGAAAACAACTATCAAAAAGGCATATTTTCAATTATCTTGTTTACTGTTTTGCGAGTTCAAATTTTTTTCATGGATCGGCAGTCAAGTGCTGCTATATAAATGGGTAACTGAAGAATAACACAAATACATCAGACAGTCTCCCAGCTTAGGCACTGACCAGTCTCAGACCTAGCTAGTTCAGCATGGTTGCTTGCCATCCACATTCGGACAATGCCCCATTGTTGCTGCAAGTGGTCCCTTAGATTGCATTTATTTTATTACAGTATGATGAGTATTCACATATTAGAGTTTAGAGTAGACTCTTGGATAAAGCCTACTGAAACCTTTCCCTCCAAGATGCTAGTTAGCAACCAGTTGGGATGGTGGATCCTAGATAAATCATTGGCCAAGTCTAAAGAGAGCTGTGGTGTATCCTGGAAATGGGGTGAAAGACTAAATGATACAGGGGAGATACATCCAACGTTAGATATAGTCTAGATAGATCCATTGAAAGTTCATTGATTTCAGTGGGTCTACCACTTGAGTGTGAAATGAGTATGTGTTGGATCCTAATACCCCTTGAGAGGGGTTCCACTCCTGACACTCTCTTAACGGAAGAGGCAAGGTAATTTTTACAGATTCCTCTTTCCCTTCCAGCTTCTGAAAATAGTAACCTTGAGAATAGTGTGGGACAGGCACTGCCCGATAAATGTTATGGGAGTTTTGGCAAAAATGTTCTCTTCCCTTCCTTTAGTGGGGGCCTCTGCTGGATCAAGAGCCCTTCTGTCCATGGAAGAGGCCTTTTATATCTTGGCAGGTTTGCTCACCTAAAGGAAATAGGTTGCAATATTTTTCATCCAGTTTTCAGCAGAATGTCCAGTATGTTTAGTTTTACGTGCTGCTGTTCTGTACTATGTATTTTTAACTTGTTTGTATTAAGATGTGTGCACAAAGAATGACAGCAGAAGTATTTGATAATTTTATTTTGGCTGTTGTATGTCTTTTTAGCACTGAGTACGTGTAACATAACTTGCTGCGAATGATTTCCCAAAAGGTTGATGGGAAGCTGTTGTGTTGGCTCTGTACGCTGTCCTACAAGAGAGTACTGCAGAAGACCAAGGAACAGAGGAAGAGCTTAGGGTCTTCACATTCTAATTCCTCCTCCACATCTCTTACTGAAAAAGACCAGCATCATTTGAAACACCAGCGCCATCGCCATCACCACCACCGTCACAGCAGCGGCCATCACAAGTAAGTTTTGTGAAACTTGTGGAATGGAGGCCGTACCAGTATTCTCTGAAACTAAATCAAGATACAGTAAGAATTTTGCTGCTAATTTGGTAGATTTAATCTATTGCACTTAAAACTTATTTCTGCTATTAATATTTCCTTAGGTTGAAAGTGTGATATGGCAGACTTGGGTCTAAGAATGTTTCTTTAGGCTAGGATCCAAGGATCTGCCCGACTGGTTCCAATTGTCCAAGGGAGCTTTGGGTTTGTTTTCTTGAAAAAGAAGCTTCCCACATAGCAAATCGTTTTGCAAACCTAAGAGAGGTTTCAAAATAACAGGGCCTGTTATTCAAAGAAAGTCACATTTCCGATTGCGCAACATCCTGCCATAACTTTTAGAGACCGTATGTGTATAGCTGGGAGTCTTGTTTTTTGTAGAACACAAAACCTATATGAAACAGTAACAGTTTAGAAACATTTGAGTTGCAAGCTGAACTCTCAATTCTAATGCTGTTGCTAATACACATAGCTAGGCATGGCCCCTTTCTGAATGAAGAAGAGATGCATAAATGCACCAGAATCATGGAATTGTAGAATTGGAAAGGACTCCAAGGTTCCAGCCTCCTGCAGTGCAGCAATATCAGCTAAAGCATCCATGACAGATGGCCATCCAATCTCTGTACAAATAAGATACATTGTGGTTGAAGAGAGATTTCACTTGTCATGAGAAAATGAAAATGCTAGCTAATTGTGTTAATAGACGTTGCCCAACGGCTTCCATTTTCGTTATGCTGTACATCAGCTGCTTTCAATACCACCAGTCTTTTATTTATTATTTTATTATACTTGTATCTCATCATGGAACTTAAGGTAGTGTACCTAGTTTTCCAGGAAGTCTTCCATCCAGGCACTGACCCAGACTTAGACCTTCTTGGCTTCAGCCAGGCTGGCGGTCTTGTGTTTTCAGGCATATCCTGAGACTTCCTTTTGAACCTCCTGGTCAAGTTGGGACAGAGGGACACAGTTCACGCTGGTCCCACATGGTGCTGGTGGGTTGCTTTGGATAGGGGTCTTTAACGTCTGGCCCAGTCATGTGGAGCAGAAAATATTCCACAAAAGCTTTTCTTAAGTTAGCAGCAATGAATGGATGCAAAGTGCAAATACAATATTAGGCAAGCCTGGTAGTTCCAAAGCTTTTAGCTTTGTTTATTAAACCCAAGTGAAATAAACATGCTAATCTAAATCAATCTCTGGAGCTGGGGTGGCTTACCTTTTTTGCCCCAAAAGCAACACTCACCCTTCCACAACCCTCCCAGGGGCCCAATACCAATGATGGATGTCGTCAAAACGCGCCCATGGCACACTGGCATATAGCCCCCACTTCCAGCTAATCACCCTCTCTCTGCTCGTCAGATGAGCAGTCTCATGACCAGGGAGAAGGTGATTTGCATCACCGCAGTGCAGTGACTGCGTCAATGTTTTTGTTGCCGCCATTAAAATCAGAGAGGGTGGCGGCAAACAAATTGGTTTGGGACCAGATCAGGGTTTAGCCTTCCCTGATTTAGGGTTTCAGAAAACGTTCCTGTTCAAAAGCTTTTGGGAAATTAGTGTACTTCCTTTGGTCTGGGGAGTCTTCATTCTATTCTTTAGCTTCATGAAACTGCTTGAAAAGGTTATCTGGATGAGTGAAGTATGGTGCCATCAGTAAATGGGTGCCATCCCAACTCTCCTTCTGATACCTCAAAAACAGTGAAGACCCCAAATTGTTTTATGGAGGTTGTTAATCCTCATTCAGCACATCACAGTATGATAATTAATCAAGACAAAAGTAACTAAAAGACCAGATTAATGGGAATACTTCTAGACCTGCCGCTGCTCTTGGAAGGTCTAGTTGTGGCCAGCAGTACTTTTACATAGCTGTGCCTGGAGTTCTGCTTACAGTCTTCCCTGGAAAAGACAGGTTTGCCCTTTGTTAGGCATGCTTTGGTTGCATCCATATAGGATTGCAGTGTGCTATTATATATGTGGCTACCTTTAAAGAATATTCAGAACTGGTAGCCATACGTAAAATAGGGTTTTTCCTTTTTTTCCCCCCAAACCATGATTGAGGTGGCCATTCTTAAGCCTATTGCATATTCTGCATTTCAGAATCAGCAGTCTGAGTCCAGAGCAAGATCAGGGATTGTGGAAACAGAGGTAAATGTTGACTATTAAAAAAAAGAACAATTTGTAAGTCCAGCCTGTTCCTTACTTTGTCAAATTATTTAGAAATCTATGTACATGCTGTTTTGTGTAAATGTAGATGTATAGTCATACAGATTGTGTTGGCGTCTTTTCAGCCATAAATCCTCTGCAGCTATTCAGAATGAAACTCCAAAGAAAAAGCCCAAAATGGAATCCAAGCCATCTAATGGAGATAGGTAAAAATATGGCCTTCCTTACAGTTTTTCCCATTGAAATTATTGTTCGTTTTCCTTTTCTTTTTCATTTTATTCTGAAAAAGTCAACATGACTTCATATTTTGGCCATATGCCTTGGTGTTAACTTTAGTGGAAAATGATGGCTTTATACTCCTTATTCTGGAGGTTTTTGGGGGTAATCAAGTAAAATATAGCAGAAGGAAAACAGCCCAACATGCAGTGCATCTAGGAGCAACAGTTCAGTTATTTGTAGCTATAAACCTGCTTTGATTTGGTTCTTAGGGACAAGCTTTGTTCTATGTGCATCTTGTTAGGTGAGAGAAGTTGTATACAACAGTCTCTGACAAACAGCTGGAATTTGTGTAAAAGGCTGCTTCATTTAGAAAGTCAGAAGCTAATGCTTAATTATATTTCTGCAGGTATTGATAATGTTTGCCATTAGTAAGTTAATTTGCTAGTTTCATCTATTTCTGTCAAGTACTTTTTTTTCCATTAGGACATTTGTGAAACTGATTCAAATACATAGTTTTCCCCCCTCATTTAATCACAGCCCACACTTTTCGTTTTACAGTAGTTCTATAAATCAGTCAGCAGACAGCGGAGGTACTGACAACTTTGTCCTCATTAGTCAGCTGAAAGAAGAAGTGATGTCACTGAAACGCCTCTTGCAGCAAAGAGATCAAACAATTCTGGAAAAAGATAAAAAGGTAAAAGCCTGAACTCACGAGTAGCTATTTTGTAAATGTTCTAGTTCCAAATGAAATCAGCATTACAAATATGAATTAAACAACCCAAACCAGAGTTCATTTGGAATGCATTTTGGTCATATTATAATTATATTTAGATGAATGAACTTTTTTGTCCACAAGGGGCCAATTTTATCTTCTTCCTCCACAGTATGCCCTTCTCCCCAGCTGGCCAGAACCTACCCTGGCCAAGGTTTGATGCTGATAAAGGGTAGGAGTAGTTGAGGCCTCCAGGTATAGGACAGTATATTATTATTATTATTATTATTATTATTATTATTATTATTAACAATAATAGGCTAAACCCGCATGCATAATACTGTATCCTCATCATTTCTGCCCATCAAACAATTGCTTTTGGGGAAAAGGGAGGGTGAGCTGTTATGGTATTAGCCAGAGGTAATATTTTCCCAAGTATATCTGATACATTGTAACATATTTGTAGTTTATATGGGTTACTCTGGATGCTTTGGAAGGCCTTCCCTCTCGATCCTTTCCCCATATTGAGCTTGCGTTCATTGAGAGGTAGGTTGGAGTTTACACTCCAAATCCATAGTTTCCACCTTTGGGGGCATCTTAACTCCCACAAACCTTCATTGTATTTTGCTCTCTTCCCAAGAGAGAAGTGTAGTACCTGGCTTACAAGTGTGTTGTGAAGGAGGTGACCTCTTACTTGCACATCTGGGAATAACTGCTGTATGGTTTATTTGTTTTTTCTTAACTGTGTACATAAGGACAATAACCTGGACTATGCTAAGTAAAAATGTTTAGACAACATTGTGTCTTACAGATATGCTCAGCTTATTTTGTTTGTGCAGATATATTTAATGTTATGCATTGTTTTCATTACTAGTCTTCAAATCAGTGGAAGAAATTGCTTTTTCGTCTTTTAAAATATTCATCTGACAGATACCAGGAATCTTATCTTGTTGACGTGAGGGTTATCGCTTTAAAGGAGGTCTGGAACAGTATTTTAAAGATCTCCATTCTTTTTCCTAGTTGACAGAGCTGAAGGCAGACTTTCAGTACCAAGAGTCCAACTTGAGAACAAAGATGAACAGCATGGAGAGAGCTCATAAGGAAACTGTGGAACAGTTACAGGTAAACACCGCAATCGTTCACAGACAACATTATTGGGCTAAGGACTTGGGGAGCAATCAAAACCCAGGATCTACTGGGATGGGTGAGTTAGGATCCAGTTGCTCTCCCAGTGTAAGCACCACATCCAAGCTTAGCTGGAGACACGCTGGCATAATTCCCTCAGCTGGGACTCAGCTGACTTAGCCACGTGGTTTTTACACTGGCATAAGCCCTGAAAAATGGGGATTGGTGGGGGTGCTCCCAGGCAGGGGATCCTTCATATAAGGATCCTAACTCTGTTTAGCTTGATCACACAACCTGGCAGAGCTGGCAAAAAGGGAGGTGCAATTCAAACACTCTTTTTAAGACTTGTTTTTTCCTCTTCGAGGCTTAGGCTGGTTCAGTGAGTAGTAGCACTGCTGAACAGAGTTTGGAATTGGGGTAATTATGCAAGTTTGATTTAAGCTGGTGTCAGTTTAGTCCGCTTCCTATGCTTATGATAGTTCTGTTATATATAATTTATATAAAAACAAATGGTCATGAGATAGGCAACCTTTTGAATCCAGTTCACTCTTCTTGAACTATCAATATCATACCCCAAGATAGCATTGATTTCTGGCATCACACCAATAAGAGGAACCCACATTAGGCCTCTGCAGATACTGAACTTCACAAGCTGGATCTCTAGTCATCCCAGCATTGATGAAGAGAAGAAGAAGAAGAGTTTGGATTTGATATCCCGCCTTTCACTCCCTTTAAGGAATCTCAAAGCGGCTAACATTCTCCTTTCCCTTCCTCCCCCACAACAAACACTCTGTGAGGTGAGTGGGGCTGAGAGACTTCAAAGAAGTGTGACTAGCCCAAGGTCACCCAGCAGCTGCATGTGGAGGAGCGGAGACGTGAACCCGGTTCCCCAGATTACGAGACTACCGCTCTTAACCACTACACCACACTGGCTCTCATTGTAATTGATCTACGTAAGATTGTAATTGATCTGCGTAACAATGTTTGCAATTTTTTTATCCATAAACACTCAGCAGTGAAATAATTAGCAAAGCTTACATCAGTTAGGTCCCATTGATTGACTTTCAGTAAACCGGTCTAACTTAAACAGGATACATCATGAGATTTTGATATGTTTTACCAGTTGTACTAAAGTTGTTATTCCCCATTTTTGTTTTCAGCTATAGCAACTAAAGAAATTGGCTTAAAGCTAGCTAGCAGAGCTGCTTTGGTGCAAATCTGTTTCACCTGCATCTTAAGTGTTGTACACATCTGTGTCTGTGTTTTATAGAGAGGGACTTGGTTGTGATGAATGGTGGTCATGTTTGCCTGGATAACTTCCTAGGCTGCTAGTGCTGAAATAGCCTCTGCTTTTTACTGTGTTTCTTTAGGTGAAATCAACATTCCAATCTCTTCACACAGTGTAAAGCTCCAGCTGACTCCCAAAGAATCACAAATTAGCCAAATTATTAAACTGGGCTGGGGGGGAGGGAGAGAGAGCTTGGACAGTGTCATGTTGAGACAGCTTTCCATTTAAGCATCCGTCTGTCTGAAAATGTGCTTTAAGGCCCTTCTTTAAAAATATCAAAATGAAAGCTATCTAATAATACAGTATTTTTACTTCAAGATCTAATGAATGCTCTTGAGAGGGTTCCAAAAAGGACTCTAGACATCTATTTCTCAAGCATCACCTCATCATACCAAACAGTTTGGGGTGGGGGAGGAACTGGAGTACCAAAACCCTTGGGCCGAACCTTACATAGCTCTTTGGATCCGTGACTTTGAGCCCTTTTCAGCAGCACAGGCGTTCGCCTACATCTGTTAGACATTTCTGCAACTACCATGGGAATAGTGAAAAGAGGGAAGTGGAGCATTTTCCAACATTGCATGGCAATGTATGTACGATGCAACCTACAGAATTATAAGGGGTGTGTTGTTTTTTGCAGGCAAAAAACAGAGAACTGCTCAAACAAGTTGCGGCTTTATCAAAGGGCAAGAAGTTTGACAAGAGTGGGAGCATACTCACATCTCCATGAAGTGCTGGCTGTTTGCATGGGTGTTAATATTCAAAAGGTAAACGACTCTGTGGAAACTCCTTAGAAGCCTGTGTAGTGGAAAAAAAGAATATTTTTGCACACAGAGTAGTTGGCATGTTTCCTACACCTTTTTGTAACTGATAATGCAGTGGAACTTTTTTTTTCTTTCCTTTTTAAGTTTAAGCCATTTGGATTAAAATACTTCAGCTGGCTTGAAGAATGCTTTTTAAAAAGAATTTATACAGGAGAGGACTTCTTGCCAGTTACTGGTAATCAGTAAGAGTGCTCTTATTTTTAACCACATCATGCAATAACATATGCAAGGCAGCAGTTTGAGGGAGCAGTCCATCAAGGATGGCTATTGTGCAGAATCATTAATCTAAATTGGATTTATGCAGGACACCTAGGCAAAAGCAGAACTTGCCCAGGAGCTGGGCAGATCCACATCAAGAAAAATAATGGTCAACCATATCAGTATTCCAGCAACAACTAGCTTGGAAACAGAAACTGGAGCACTGGATGCCTGACAATTGTGCATTATCTTTTGGTCAAAATAAGAGTACGTTGAAAGTCTAAAATCATGGTGCTTTTATGACAAGAAGCTTATTACCTATAAATATGTAAAAGAATTTTAACAGTTCTATTCTTAGTGATAACTGGTGTTTTACATTTCTTGTGATAGAAATTTAAAGAGATATTCCCTATTGTAAGTATCTGAACAAAATGTGTTTTTTGAAAATTTACTGTAGACTTTTTCTCTTGCAAGTGCCTTTTCTCCTAACTGTTTATTATTTATAGGAATGTTGGTATTTTGTATATAAAGTTTTTTCTTTTTTTAAAAAAAAATCATGTTTAAATGTTCCTTTGTGGATGTATATAAATAAATGTATGTACAGAATAATCAGATGTTAAGATCAGAGTTGTTTAGGATGCTAGAGAAGGTGTTAAGATCTGGCAGGAAAGGAATATTGGCTGTACATAATTGTAACAGATTTGTCTGTGTAGAAGGTGTTTGTCTTAACTCATGTTGTGCCTAACTTAATTTTTTCCCCACACACACTAAACTGTAGGGCTTCTAAAATATATTTCACCTTTTGTCTCAGTGCTAATTTGCATAATATTCCCTGTGGCATGCTCTAAATTGAATGACGCAGGAACAGTATTTGAGCTAATGTAACTCTTTGGCAATTTCTTTTAATAACATTTCATCGTACTATGCCTTTTTAAACTGCTGGGAGAATATGCCTTTTTTATTTCTCAAGAGTGAAACAAACACCCCACACACAAACAGCTTCACATTGCTAAGGGTGCAGTCACACTGTTCTAGCACAGGTTACCCAGGAGCCAAAAGAAATGGCCCCGGAGAAGGTCTCACATGGGACAAAAAACGCCAGCCCCATAGACCCGCACTGGCTTCGCTGTCTGTGGGCCAGCCATGTAGTCAAGTGGGATCAGTACAGGATGAAGAATCATGTACCCAGCAGGAATTGGATAAATCTCTTAAGACAAGTATCTCATTCCTCAATAAAGAGCCTGATGCTGGCATTCAGAAAGTCCTATGGGAAGCTGCAGGATTCCATGGAAACATAAACAATAGCATACAAAGTTCTCCGAAAGGCAGGCAGCTTGCCCATCAGTATTGATCTCAAGCTGCAGGAAGTGTATTACATGTTCTCTATATGTACTTCCAATTTGTTCTGAGGAACAGCGAAGCCCATAAAGTCAGGTCAGCATTGCACAAGCCCAACTGTGCATCCCTAGAACAAGTCCCAGGATTCTGAATAAACCATCAGAGTTCAGTAATAGACAGGCAGACATCCCTCAGCAGAATGTGGAAAGCAATACCCGAAGGTAGGAAGTTACAGGTCCCTGTCTTACATTTCTTCAGATTTTTTTCTTTTTTAAATGTTCCCTTTGGGAGTTACGATATGAATTACTATATGATATGAATTCATTCCAGAAGGCATGGTCTCATCAGCTTAAAAATGAAGCTGCTTTTCCATAAAATGGAAATCCTATTTGATTCAAAGGTGCTCAAGTTACTATCAAGTTACTTAAAAGAATACTTGCGCTTCAGCTAGCGTTAATGTGTTGTTTTTGGACCTCCAGCTACCTGAAGATTGGGAGGATTTGTTCCCAACAGACTACTGAATAATGTAATTTGAAAGGAAAAAAAAAAGCTGCTTTCTACAATTTTGAGGATTATTTTTAATTTTTTGTATACTAGACGAACTTTGTAAATTTATAAATACTATTTGATTATCTTAACATGATAAAACAGCTAGGGTAGAATATACTGCTGCTATCCTATTGGACTGTTTAATCATTGAGAAGGTTTTTTTTTTTTTTCATTACTTACTTGCATTTCAGAGTATTTTGATACTTTTTCCAGTCAAATGACTACCTGTCACTGGTAGATTTGGGTGGTTTTTTTAATACAGAAACCTGCCAGAACTTTTACCATGAATCTGATTCACTTTCTGATCAAATCATTCTCATTGAAACCTGCTTATGCTGCAACAGGAACATTCTAGAAAAAGAGACCCAGCATTTTAATTTTTAACTGCCAGAGCTGTACAAATCCTAGTATGGACCCATTTAGGGACTTTACAGTGTTTAAAAAGAAATCACTCTGGTTTTATAAGTTTCATACCCTCTCTTCACTTGGGAGTTTTTAAGGCTAGGAATTAGCAAATGAAATCCTGGAGTTGTAGCTATCTTCACATTGAACTTTTTAATGTAGATTTTGAGGGTGAAATGTACTATAATGTGCATTTAAGTCAGTTTTCCAATTGTTAATTAGCATTGAACAAAACCTTTCACTTGGGCTTCAGTTATTTATGTATTTTAAGCCTGTGAATATTGCAGTTTCTTTTTAGTTAGAAAGTATGTCCATTCTGAGGTGAAGCTGTTCAGCTTGCTACATGTGTATATACTGTTGAAATTCTGTACTGGCACACATTTGACAGTTGACATTTTTGTACTTTTTTTCTAAATCCAATATTTCACAATAAAAGCTTGTTAAAACATCATTATGCACCTCTTCTATTTTTTATTATTTATTTTTATTAAAGATTTTCTTGGTTTACAAAAGTACATGCCTTGTCTCTTTTTCAGATTGTACATTCTCTTACAAAACAGTTACATTTGTTGTGAGGCATTAGTGTTGAGTACAGTATAAGGCTGGGAGAGAGGAGAGGTGGGGTGTTTATATAATGTACATGAGGGGTTTGGGGTCAGCGTCAACTGGGTAGGTTATCTTTCTATTGGTTTATTACATTTCGTTGGTAGTGAAAGGTATTGTGGGGCAGGGTGTTGTTGGTTGGCTGTGGTTGGCTGCAGTGGGGTTTGTTTGCATTTGTGAAGGGGTGAGGGCTTGTTGGATCAGGTAAGCCAGAATGATTTGTATACTATCAGTGGATTCTTCTTGTTGGGCTGTGTATGTGGTAAATGGGAGCCATACTGGCGTCCTCTTCTATTTGTTCCCATGTCAGTTTTAATTTTATTAGTTAGCTTTTCTAGTAAGGCCATTTCCCATACAATTTGATACCATTGGTCCATGTTTACTGCTGACAGGTCTCACCAATGTCTGGCTATGAGGATTCTGGCTGCTGAGAGTAGGTGGGTTATGAGCCCTATATAATGTGAGTGGTCATTATGATCTTGGAAGATGTTCAGTAGGGCCAGTTCTTGGGTGAGTTTTAATACCTGTTTAGTTAGTTTTGCATATCTCTTACAGGACTCCTGTCCATAGCTGTCAAGTGTCCCTTATTTGAAGGGACAGTCCCTTATTCCAGCGCCATGTCCCGCTGCTGTCCCTTATTGATGGATGTCTCTTAAAAGATGTCCCTCAAATTTCAAAGGAAGCAGCTCCTCTCCCTCCCTCCCTGCCGGCCAGGGAGGAGGGAGGCTCCAACTGTGTTGCTTGGCTATGTTGCTCACCCAATAAGAAGTCTAAGAATGACTGGGAGGTGGAGCTTGCATGCCTTGTGTGTGGCTAGTTAATGCAAGCTGAGGGGTTTTTTGAATGCTGGACGCCATTTTGTTGCATGTGCTGCTGCAAACTTTGCAGTGCAAAGCCAGGCCGGGGAGCCATCTTAAGTTGAGGCTGCATAGGCCTTGTGGTGCATGTGATTCAAATTCTATTCTATTGAACCTCTGGTTACAAAGTTGGTTGGACAGTGTTCTCGACGCTACCAGCATGAGTTCAACCAGACTGCAGGAGGACAAGAAGACTGGAGTGCCTGGAACAGATGAGGCTGCAGGTCCCTTATTTTGGCTGCTGTTCCCTTATTTTCAAGGCTGCTGGTCCCTTATTTTCAAATCTGTAAGTTGACAGCTATGCTGCTGTCCAGAAGGTTTGGATTTTAGGGCATTCACACCACATGTGGAGGTACGTGCCAGTGGAAGTGCAGCCTCTCCAACATCTTGGCGAGGTTCCTGGGTGTATCAGTGCCAGTTTCTGTGGTGTTGAGTTTCAGAGTGAGTTCCCTTCTTTTGGCTGATAAGGACTTAAGGGGAGGTTTAGACCACCTTCTAGTCCATTGGGTGGGGTTAATCTCATAGCCTATGTTGTGCTCCCATTGTTCTTTGATGGCGTCAAGGGGGTTTGTGGGATTTTGGAGCAGTATTTTGTATATTGCGGATACCATTGCTTTGCTGTGTCCCTCTGCTGTCGGGAGGTTTTCGAAGGTGGTCATGGGCCTAGTGGCTGCTGATTTTCCTGCTGGATTGTTTAAGGAGGCATGTATCTGGGGGTCCCCTAGTTTGTCTTTTATTTCTTGTGTTGGTATGCATTTGTTGTTTTTGTAGAAGTGTTTTAGGCAGTGTAGGCCTTTGGCTTGCCAGGTTTTTATCTGGAGGTTTTGTTAACAGCATTATTCACCAGTCCATTGGTTCGAGGTAGTTTCTGGGTGCTTCATTTGGCAGTAGTTGTGGTTGCAGGGTTGTCAGTCTGTGGTGTGTGGGTTTAGCTGAGGTTGGTTCATAGTCTTGTGTTGCGTGTTCTGCGGGGCTGTTCTGTGAGTGGTACTTGACTGTCTTTGCTTTGTCATGTCGTTTCTGTTGTTTCTCCTTTCTCTTGTTGACTGTCGTCCAATCGTTTGCTGTATTTTCGTCTTGGTTGTCGTTTGGTGGGTGATGGTTGCCATTCTGGTGGAGGGTTAAGCCTGAGGTTCTCCAGTCATTGCAGGGCTTTAGGTATGTTGGTGGCTGTGTGCTGTGTTGTTACAATGAGGCGAAAGGGAAGCCCCATCGGTACTTGTAAGAAATTGTGTAAACTACTTAACCAAAACATTCCCTTAAACTTCTCCACATAAAACAATAGAGTAACTTATCAGTAAAATACAGAGCAACAGAATTCAAAAACAAGTATAAAGGTAAAGGGACCCCTGCCTGCTAAGTCCAGTCACAGACGACTCTGGGGTTGAGGCATTCATCTCACTTTACTGGCCAAGAGAGCCAGCGTTTGTCCACAGACAGCTTCCGGGTCATGTGGCCAGCATGACTAAGTTGCTTCTGGCAAATCAGAGCAGCGCACGGAAACGCCGTTTACCTTTCCGCCAGAGCGGTACCTATTTATCTACTTGCACTTTGACGTGCTTTCAAACTGCTAGGTTGGCAGGAGCTGGGACTGAACAATGGGAGCTCACCCCCGTCACAGCGATTCAAACTGCCAACCTTCTGATCGGCAAGCCCTAGGCTCTGCGGTTTAGACCACAGTGCCACCCGTGTCCCTTTAAAACAAGTATACATGCCTGAATTATGTCTGAATAAGCTTGTCAAAATAAAGTTTTCAGCAAGCACCAATAACTGAATAATGAAGGTACCTGCCTGATGTTAATGGCACATATCCCAAGCACAGGCATTATTTCACTAAAATACTGACTTCCTACAGATGAGTGATGAATACTAGTAAGGATTAAATGTGAAATCTTGTTCACGTTTGCCTTGAACCCGTTTGTGAATCTTTCCCGCATCAAAATACAGTTTTTTCTACATTGTTCTGAAATTCTGAATTAGAAAAAAACAAACCATGGAAATATTATACAGCCTTAATTTATGCATGCTCTAGAATGAACGTACTGTATGATGATGTATGAAAAATTGGCACAGATGTTTCACACGGTGTGTCTAATTTTTAGTATTCACCACCAACTATTTACAAATAACTGCCTTTACCCAGTTGGCCACCAGATGCTGCTTTAGTCCCACGTACAATATTAGAAGCATTCCTATGTAAAGTGTCTTCTGACCCAAAAGTGTGTGTTACTAGGGCATAACCAGACCCAAGCTGTTTGAAACATTTTCAGGTAGTACCACATAGTAGCAGCTGGAGAATGGGTGGATAGGTGGCCTCTTGGTGAGGAACCAGTGGTGCTTTAACTATGAGGAGATCTCTGCCAAGTGGCAGCTTATTCAAGAGTTTATGTGACACTCGTGCTTAATTGTGAATGGTGCATATCTCTTTAAATGCCCAGGTTTACTTGCAATAAACAACGAACAACTGTGGTCACTTTGCTGCCATTGCTTCTCTGTGTACTGTACAGAAACATTGCATATTTAAACATATGTGAACTGATGGCGTCACACGTGCATTTTCCTGTTTAAAGTTTGGTCCCTTTTTGTGAATTTGCTCTTGGGGTTGGGATTGAACCTTTGATGGAGTTCCGAAGGGAATGTAGTTCTGAAACTGAGGGCTGGTAATCGGGGGAAGTTCTCGGGAGTGATTTCTGTTCAAAATTGTCATTGGGCAGTTGCCAATAAAAGAGCAATGGCTTGAGAAAAGGAGGCACAGAGTTGAGGCTAGTATTGCACTGTGGATCTCAACACTGCACCTTGTAATGTGCTTGGAAGAGAGTGCATGCGCGCGCACACACACACAAACATCATTTGGATGTAATCTCTAAAATTACCATGTTCTAGCCAACAAGTCCCAAGCAAGATTCAAGGACGAGAACAACTACTTTATAAATGGGTGACTAAAAATTAGTGGTTTGCTTTGCCCAGCATGATCACCCAGGGGCTCAGTGTGCCAAGCCTTGAATTGTGGGGAAGTCAGTTTTGTGCATTTGAAGCGTGGGGCAGAGCAACTCCAAGGTTTACCTTTAAATTTATAGCCGCAGACCAGACGCAGCACAAATCTGTTAGGTGGCAATTGTAGTAGTTTGGTTGCAGGCAAAAGTAGCAATCCTAAACATGCTGACTCCCAGGTAAGCAGATATAGGATTGCAGTCTGTTAGTTTTATTATTTTCTTCATTAAATTTGTATACTGCCCTTCATCCATAGGGCAGTTCACAACATCATAATAATAACAACAACAGCATAATAAAAATCAGGGGGAGGGAAGACACCCAACCTCCCACAAACTAATAACCTGGTTCCCATTGAAATCAATGGGATAAAGTTAGTCATGACTTGTCTTATGGTTCTTAAATTTTAATTGGAACTACAGCTCCCTTAGTCTGTATCCAACCTAATATTATTTTTCCTCTGTATGATTGTGATATAGGAATTGATTGAGTGGCTTCCTTCTCTTCCTAAAGTCACTCAAGAAAAAATATTCCAGATTACCAAGTAATCAAATTCCTTGTACACGATGCAAAATTCTGTGGCATTCATTGATTGTAACTCATACTTCCGAAGGGAGTCCTCTGCAATTTTGCTGCCATTGTCCATGCCATGTCCATGTACCCACACCCAAGGAGCTGTTCCGAAGTGGCTCTGTTTGGATCCACAGCCTGCATCCACTCATGGTCCATAATGTCGAAAACTGCATTAAGCCATCCCCCCAAATTCCTGCCTGTATCACAGGAGGAGGTTCACTCCGTTGATAGGCCTGCTTGACATGTCAAAGCTCCAATCAGAATCATTCAGTTTTGCAGAGGGAGCCAACTGAAGACTCTGCCATTATGGGGAAAGGGCCTCCTCTTTTGAGCTGGGGAGAGGCCCCACACACAGCGCCCGCAAATGGGAGCCCTTCTTTCCCTCCCCAGCCCAGTGGCGGCCCCCTCCACCTCGGATCAGCTGCAGCTGAGATAAGAACAGTTAATGCTGGGAGTTTCTGCCCGCTCAGAATTCAGCTTCACTTAAATGAATGTTGCTCCTCTTCTGACCTAGATGTGGAAGACAAAACCAAGTTCAAGCCAAAGGAACTGAAACCAGACTCTCTAACCTCCGCCATCTCTGCCCACAAAAAGGCCATTATGCGCCTCTCGCCTTGAAAGGGAGAATTCAGAAGTTTATAACTCGTATCAACAGCAGTATTCTTTCCAACCTTTGGGAAGCCATAGAGCTTCTTTTCGTCTCATGGGTGGACTGATCTGGAGCAGAGTTCATCGCCTGGAAGATTTAAAAAAGAAGACTCATCAATTAAATGTTTCTATCAAAAGAGGATTGTCAAGGGCAAAGGGAGTGAGGCGGAGTGGTGAGCCCTGTCCTTCACAGGCCACTTCCAGCAGGCCTACCTAAGCTGCCATCTTAGATTTCCCACAATGCCTTTGACAATGCATCATGCCGGTGCACCGTGCAGAACTCAAATGGTAGCTCCAAGTTGCTAAGTTTTGGGGTGGGGAGTCCCAGGGGGTTTAAACTGCCAGTGGCGTAGCGTGGGGGGTGCAGGGGGGCCGGCCGCACCGGCCGCAACATCTGGGGGGGGGGCGCGCTCGCACTCGCAGCTCTTTGCCCCTACCTGGCTCACTCACTCTCTCTCACGGGTTAGGGGGCGCAAATTACTTGCCTTGCCCTGGGTGCTGACAACCCACGCTACGCCACTGCAAACTGCAGCAGCTACCCAAGGGTGTTTGGGTGTGCAGATGCCTGGCCCGGTATGAGAATAACTTTTCTTTGCACCCATGGCCATCAGTATCTACCTATTCACTATTAGGCAGAATGTTAGATCGTTTCTGGTGAAAGCATCATCTGTGTTTCGCCAGTAGCATATTCTCAGCCATCTGCGTTGCCTCCCACTCACGCTCGCTTAATCAGAGCACACAAACATACCTTCTGCTGAACTTTAGAAGGTGGTTCTCTGCTCATAAAGCTCATTAGCTTTGTATCAGCAAAGGATTCTTCAAAGCCTCTGCTGGCAGCAGCAAGGGTCTGTTAATCTGGATTTACTGCCAACAGGAGCCCAAAGGAGGCAGCGACAACAATTAGGTTGAATTATTTATTTTCTCTTGGGATTCAGGAACATTTGGGGGCAGGCTTTGTGAATATCTTGCTTGATGAGCATATCTTCCCTACAATGGTGAGATGCATTGCATTTCTCTTTAAACTAGTAACTATTTCTAAATTACTAAATTTAAACTTCATATAAATCAGCATATGCAAGCTTCATGCTAATCTGTCCCTTTCATGGGGGAGGAAGGTCTTTCCTCTTTTTGGCAAAGCATAAGTGGCCAGTCTGGAGGGGAGCATTTATTTCCGCTCGCCTGCTTACCTCTTTCCTTATTCCTATAATGCCTCCCACGTCCCGTCTACTCTGCTGAACTTTGTATGCGACCAGAGGAGGCATGCACATAGACATATGAGACTGATAGACATTGTGGGGTTGTATCCAACATAGAGTCTCATGCTCTATGTAGAATTTTGTATCAGCTGTTTATTCTTTTTTGATTGGATTGGACTTTCACCTTCAAGGATTGCTTCTTAAATGCAGAGATTATAATAACTATATGAATAAAAACATAAGGGCTGCTTCCCAAGTCAACATTTTTACACAGGTGAAAAAGTGGATGGATAGATAGACGATAGATAGATAGATAGATAGATAGATAGATAGATAGATAGATAGATATTCAATCTGGCTGCTGGTACAATTATATTACAGCCCCTAACAATATTTTAAAGGACACAGCAGTTCTGAAAACACAACACAGAAAAAACCTTTTCATATTACATCATTAATACAGTTGCTCTTAGGAAGCCTTTGCAAATCATACTTACAGCTGGGTGAACATAGATAGCTACTTTTTTCTCCTTGTCCTACAACAACAAAAGAACACATTTTCTGTGCTGTGGACCAAAAGCCTAATTTAGTCAACGGTACATAATCTCTTCTGGAATCTGTCTACAAAGACCACAACTAAGCAAAAAACGGGGCAGATCTACTAACCTTGAGCCATGCACAAAAAGATCCATGCTCCATATGGGGTTTTATTGCAAGCTTGGCTAATGCTCTACTAGGCTTGCTTTTCGATCTCAGGGCTGTTAAAGCCTTTCTCAGGGGTGCTGCTACAAGTTAGAAATGAAAGTGGAGTTGGAAGGATGTCCTAAGGAAAAGCGGGGCATTCTGGGATCAGATCAGAAACTGGGACAGCTGTAAATCTGGACCTGTCCCTGGAAAATAGGGACACTTGGAGGGTCTGCTACCTGAATCCCTAACTGTGGGGGGTGTTTGACTGAAAGCTACTTGTTGAAATGCTCCAACATCAGTCTTGGGGGGGAAACCCAGAGACCCAGGCTAGTATGGAAGAAGGTAGCTTGGACTGAGGCCCACCACAGTCCAACACAGGAGGAAGAATGTCGAAAAGAAAACACTGGAGACCTTTACCAAAGTCTGTTTGTTTCTAGAACTGGACAATGAAAGGAAATGGAGTTTATATGTTCTGTCCCAAGGAGTTCATAGTTTACTCTTTTAAAAGATAGGCTGGGCCTTGTGTAAATACTTGCCCCCAAAATATATATCTGCTATTTTATAAGAAAAACAAAATGAATGAAAAGGCCACCTTAAAGTTAAGGAAGTTTGTTTTATTTTTACTCATTCATTTCTGTTCCACCAACAGGGCTCCAAAGAGCAGCTATTAACTGCAAATCTATTCTTGACAAACTTAGATTTACTCCCAGATTAACAGTTTGATCCTAGCCATGTCTACTCAGAAATAAGCCCTGCTGAATTCAATAGGGCTTACTTCCACGTAAATGTGGTTAGGAATGCAGCCTAAGTGGATTTTAATGGTGTCACACTTGGGTTAACTGCATTTGTGACATGCATGATTTTTTAAAATAGTGCTTGCTTTTATGCTTAGCTTTGATTCTGCTGTGAACAGCTTGGATTCCTTTGCAGGTTAAAATAATATAGACACGATTAAGTAAATAAAAAAGGTGGGACTGGGGAGGGGGATGACTCCTTTCATCTCTCCCAACCTTGTTCTGCATCCTAGAAACAGGTTTGATAGTTTTGTAAGAACTAGAACTTTCCCTGCCCTGTGTTATGTTTATTTTTCACACCAGATTTTTCACATGCAGCCAATCTCAGGGCAGCAGAAGGCAGCCCAGGGCAACCAGAGCCAGCAATCTGAGAGAATCGCCTCAGGCGGCAGAGGCAAGGAGAAGCGTCTGCAGGGGTCTCCTCCTCCCCACTCCAAGGTCCAAGGGGGTCTTCCTTAGGGCAAGGCATTCTGGGTGAAGAAGAAGCATGACCTCAGGCAGGGTGATCTCTGAAGAGCGCCACTATCTCAGGGGCGCTGTGGAAAACAAATAGGGTCTGGTGGCCTGAAATATACTCGGAGTCGAGAGTGGATTTCATGCTCTTTATTCAGCTCATAGTGGTGAGGAGGAATGGAAGTTCCCCCAGAATGTCTGCTTTATATACATTCTTTACACAATGGGCCCCACGTGATTGGCTAGTTCCGGGATTCACCTGTAGGCCAATCAGGTTGTGGATTTACTTCCACCTGGAGCTGGATTGGGTGGCTCCTGTGGACCAATCAGACTGCTGCATTCTGAACCCTATTGTTCTAGGACGAATCAGACTACTGCATTCTGAATCCTATTGTTCTAGGACCAATCAGACTGCTGCCTTTTGGATCCTATTCATCTCAGTACATAACATGGCCATTTTAATTTCCCACACAGTGTTAGGAGCAATGCTCTGCACTCTGGAGCGTTGTGGAAAATCGAAATGGCTCCCGGCCACTGCTGAAAAAAACAGGTGATCCCATTTGTTGGTTCCCTGCCCCAGGAAACAAGAACTGGCAACAGGCATGCAGCAAAATAGGATGGCAAAATGGGCTGGCAGCCGTTGAGAATGTGGATGGAGCTTGACGTCTTTTGAATGTTCCCTGGAGTTTAATATCTTCCCCGCAAACAGAAAACCAACAGAGCCGGCCAAGTTCTGGGGCCTAGTACCTTTTTCCCCCTTTCTATTTGCAGGGAGTTTCTTGTGCTTTGGATTTAACGCTGAAGGAACATTTGGCCGCAGGATTCCCCCGTCTGTAGCTTGGGAGCGGTGCAGGCTTTCTTACCACTTTCTTTTGCGCGTCATGCTAGGGTAGAGTGTGACGTCAAGGGTGTGACCAAGAGACAGACCATCGGGAAGCTGCCTGTTTTAGACTGATCGTGAACAGCCATGAAGCGGGCTTTCTAATTATGTTTCTCTGCAGACATTTATCTGGCAGGTGACCAACCTTCCCCTTCTTCTCCCCAGCCTCAATCTGCCAGTTTTGATGAAGTTAACAGAAGGATATTTAGGGAAAGTTCTTGCCTTTCTGAATTAAAAAAAAAAGGAAAGGTTTGTGTTTTGTTTTGTTTCCCCCCCAGGAGGAGCTAAATGACCTCAGGGAATATTATTTCCATGGCTGTTTTTCGGGATAATGCATTGAGCAATGGGTTGGTAGTGTCCTGACTTGCTGAGGCACCTTCGCGTATTTGCAGGGACAACAAACACGCCCTGTAAATGCTGTCATTAAATGGACACCAAGCCCCTGGAAAACGGCTGCACTTCAATTAAGAGGACGGCACGCCTTTCCAGAAAGGAGCTAATGGCTCATGTAGCTTTGAGTTGCGGGCGCAGGCCTTCGCTCCTGCCTCG